GTTATCAACCATATCAAGATGGCTATCATGGACAGGAGCCCCGAGACCATGGTGCACCCCCTCACCACCAGGGGCGTCGTCCGGAAGATTTCTTCTACGCACCACAGCCAACGAAGATCCCATCAAATCTTATACGCGAGGGGCACTATGCCGCAGTGACCTCATCTGATCCCAAACCAGACTATTCAAAGGTTGGGGTCGTTTTCCCTTGGGAATCACGATCACGTCCTACGCCACGACGTGTATTTCCCGACTGGGATCCCAAACCCCCTCGTTTGCAAACACCTCCTATTGCCACTGCCAAAGAAGAAGCGTTGAAAAAGGAACCTACTCAGCCTGAGCCTGCACCAGCGCCAGTTAGACAGCGATCGCCCTCCCCACCACCTCATGTTAAGCGGAAGTTCAATCCCCCACCTTCTCCCCCGAGACGCGAGGGATCTCTATATGTCAACGCGTGGGATACTGATCACGGTATTCAGCGCTATGCATCCAGGCTACAGGGCCGTTCGAGCCCATTTTCCCCTCAACCGTGGCCAACAACTCCAGGTCAAGAAGCTTATGCCGCCAAGCAAAAGCAAAAGGCACAAGAGGAGGAAGAAGAATTCACCACTTGGGGAGAGAAGGCAGAGGCGAGTAGCCGTGATGGAGATGATGAGGATGATGAAGTGGAATCCCCTCTATTGAGTCCAAGATCTGCAGCGCGCCGAAGAGCCGCCAAAGCCAAAGGTAAAAGTTATCGTAATCAAGAAGTTCAAACGGATCCCATAATAACTGAATCTCGAGGTGTTCAAGTATCTATTATAACTGAAACCGGCAACTATCCAGAGATGCCGTCGTTCCGAGATTCTCACAGAAGGAGAACCGAGCGACCATATAGCTTTGCATCAACCAATACCTTTGTCGATGACCCGTCTAGGGAAGTTGACCAATCGTCATATATTTCAGCAATTGCTCCAGAGATTCAAGAAATAATGGATGCTTCTACTAGCTTGCCAGTGCTAAAGACGAGGGAGTCTTCAGAAGATAGTATAACTACTGCCAACGACTCCAGTATTATTTCTTCACCCGTCAAGGAAATTGAAGATGTGGGAACACCCAAGGTACGCATTAGTCTTCCTGAGCAGGATGACCATGCGCCCAGTAGCATTCCCACCACAAGCGCGCCTGTAGTGCGTCGGACGGGTAGAGTATTCTCTCCCTCTACAGGTGTCGACATCTTCAAGAGAGGTTCAGAAGAAGTCCTGGCACGCTTTTTGGTGCAAAAACCATCAGGCTGGGATGCAGCTCGTGCAGATGCTGGCCCACCAACTCCATCCGCCATTCACTGAGGGATCTCACCTAGAATTTGGAGTACTGCTCCCAATGGCTACGCATGTGATACCAAGATTGCTTTGGACGCATGACGCTGATTATATGCATTTTCTTTTTTTCGTTTTTCTTTCTTTTTTCTCATTGTTATGTCCCCTCATCCGAACTTCGCCTTGTTATTCCCATTGTATGTTCTCTCTGCCTTTTACCCCTCGCAACGGTAAAAGTGAAGATGAGCAGACCTCCCTAGATGTGCCAACTATTGCCATTCCTTTCGACTACCCTTGCAGCACTCCCTTCGTTTGCCCATTGTTGTTTCCACGTTGTTGTTTGTTTGTCTCGGCCCTACATAGCGTAATCTCAGTCGACGTGCATCTCTTCCCGAGTCTTGTATGCATAGTGTTATGCATTCGCTAGGTCATCGCCCTTTCATAGAAAGAAAATCATCACTTTGTGATTACATCTCAGATGATTGATATGTACACATTCTAAAGCTACACTGTTGTCATGTATATTGGGTTAAG